ATGTCGTAGAAAATGATGGCAAAACATTTACATGTTGGAAAAATTGTCTGATTGTTTATTTCGAAAGTTTTTTTTTTCCTAAATCGCCATTAACATTATTATTTTTTCTTCTTTTGTTCTGATAAGCACATTCCTCGTTTCATAAAAATAATTTTTGAAAAAAAACTTAAATATTTAAAATTTGTTCGGTAGTGCTATCATTTATTATTTCTCGTTTTTAATTTTATTAAGAAATCTATATATTTGATGACAATTATTTATATTTGTTGTTTATCATTTGAGTTTTTTTTTATTAAAATTGTATATAAATTTTGGAAACAACAAAATTAAGTTTTCTATTTTGTTTTGTTCCCTTATTAAGTTGTTCCAAGACATAAATAATATTATTCTTAAATTCATAGAAGTTTGTGACTTGAAAATCTTACTAATTTTCTTTGTTATAAAAGAGACGGAAGTAAGAATAAAAACATTATCAAATGAGTCTTTAAAATCCATTCGATAACATTTCAATTTATCTTTTATTGTTTTATCTTTTTCAATAAATAAAAATATAACTAGATTCTTACTAATTGAAAATATTATTTCTTCTTTTCTATTGAAATAAGAAACATAAATATATTCGGTAATCATTTATTGTTTTTAGTTCTTTAAAATTTTAAATTAAATAAAGTGTGAAGTTTTCTTATTTTCTTTTTTACTACGACTTTCACGTGATGATATAAAATGCTAGCACAGCCTCTCAAAAGGGTTTCACCATTCAAAGTATTTTTCTTCCCCTACTTCTATTGTTATAATTAAAATTTTGATTTAAATATTATTTTTGTCAATGTATTTTCTATTTTTTTTTTTTGAGAAATCGACTTTAATTTATTTTGATTCATGTACGTACTATCAAAATGTTTATTTTTGTTCTTCTACTTTCAACTTTTGTTCATGTTACTCATAAAATGTCGCTTTTGACTTTTGTAATTTTAAAAGGTATATCGTTTTAGTTTCTTCATTTTCATTTAATTTTAGTATCATTTATTTCAATCTGATAATTTACTTTTTTTTTTACAGCAACAGAGAGCAAACAAACTAAGGGAAACAATAAAGACAATCAGAAGCAAGAACTCGAGTAATGGCTATATAATATTCCTCAAGCCACACCCTATTAACATGCTGCACTAGAGTAGCTCAAGTTAACATGACACTTTTCACTCCTTAAATCTTTTGAATGTATTGATAAATTTATATTAATGGATTTATATAAGGTAAAAAATTTGTGGTAAAATTTTGCATATAGAAATCAAAACGGTCACTTTTAAAAAGCATAATAAATAACACTTTAAAATTAAAATAATCAGAAATTAAAAATATAGGGACTAAAATATACCTTTTGAAATATTATAAAAATAAATTTAAACCTAAAAATTTCCTACTTCGTTTTTCATGATTGTTATTTTGTTGGTTAATTTAATAGGGTCATGTGGTCACTCTCATTCCCAAAAAGCAATCTTTTTTTAATTTGTGACTAGAAATCCATTATTGGGAAAAGGGTGATTGCCTTTTGAAACTCCTCAAAATAAAACTTTACGAAATTTGTCTTTATTTATTTATTTTTAATTCTTTTTAGATAAGGAATTTGTCTTTACGGTGGGGTTTGTCACGTGGAAAAGATGGTGTTGCTTTCTTATCAATTATTTTACAATATTTTTCTGTACGTGGCTGCTATTACTCACCCTTTTATCCGGCGGCTGCTTCACAATTATTATGTACAATATATATATATATATATATATGAGGCTGCGTTTTGTGTAATAAATCGCATTAAAAATGGAAACTATGAAATTTACACACTAATTATTCATTTTTCCCCTTATGATAATGATATCTTTGAACTCAACAGAAAAGAATATATAAGAAAAGAAAAGAAAAAAAATCGACATCCCATATCAAATTGTTGAAAAATGGCACACATCTATTTTTTTTAATAAAAAATTTCAATTGTAGTTAGTAATTATTCTCTAAATCAATAGCATAAACCAACTCGATTTTTTTCATCGTCTATAGTAATTATGTGTCATTTGTGTGTTTTGTCTCCTGTTTGTATTTTCTACTTTCAGTCTTCATTATTCCCCCTAATCTTCTACTAATACAAATAAAATTTATCTTATCTGTGTCACATGTGTTTTTTAAAAATTTTATACACAAAATCACTTCTGAATTCTAAAAAAGTTATAATGCCCCTGAATTATTTAAGATAAGACATGTTTTACAGAGCTTAGTATTAAGATATTTGAAAATTTGAAAACAAAATAATAATACTCGTTGAGTAGAGGTCAAAATTTCAAAGTCCGAAAAAAGTATTCCACGAATATCACGATATAGGCGAGAGATGTATTTCTATTTGGGTTACATAAAAAATTAATAACGTTGACACCTACTAATGGTTAAATTCTAATCTACATAATCTATTTACATTATCAGAATATTAGATCTAAATATCCTTCAAAAGTATTAATCTAACTATAGCTTTATTGATTAAAATATATATCAGTGATAAAGAATAAGTTGCCCGAATCTTTACCCTACAAAATTTTCCGTTTTCTTTTTATTATTAGGAAGGGTATTTAGATATGAATGAGTTTTAAAGGAAGAAATGAAATTAAGGGTTGGGAAGAAGGTTAAAATAGTAATTGAACATAAAATAGTGGATAGTAGATTAGGTTTCACATTAATTTAAAATTTAAAAAGAAAAATGTAAATTAAAGAAAAGACATATATGAATTTAGTATTTACACCGTAATATTATTTTGTTTTTTTTTGTCTGTTAGTTCCTACGATTAGGATTCCAACCACATTTTAATTTTCCTTAAAAAATAAATGAAAATGACAAGGGAAGGAACTGGCTGAGTGATGTGGGCCCCACAAGAGGTGGAAAGAGACAAGACGAATATCAACGGCTTGGATATTTTGGACTCTTCGGCCCACCAACATAGTAGTAAATAGGCTGCCAACGCTCAAGGCCCATCAAAATTCGGAAGCCACGTTGGTACGTTGTGGAGTAGGTGGGCCGTGGGCCCATTTCTGCTCAACTTGGTAACAAAATTTATTTTAAAAATAAAAATAAAATCAACTCGTAATTTACTAATGAATATAATTCCTAAAAAAAAAATTAAAAATTAAAAAACAATCAAATATCTAGGTTTTTCATTTCAAGTTTTCAACCCTAACCATTCACATGCAAAAAATTCTCTATAAGCATTCAATGTTTCCCTCACATGAAAGTGAAGAAGAGAAATTACATAGATCAACGGTTAAGACACATGCATTAAAAAAAAACTTATGTATGCAATTTGTCACCACTTTTTTATTCGCTCTTTCAACGCACTATATTCTTTTAATGAATCTACACAACTGTAAGTATGGTTTCTTATTGATTTAGATATAATAACCTATTTCTATTGTATTTAATAAATAAGCTTATGTACAAAAATTTTATATTCAATAAAACTTTGTTTCATAGAAGGTTAGTAAAAAGTCTTACTCATAAATATGTGATACAGCTTTTTACAGGAGAGATACATTTTGAGTGAAGATGAAGTTTAACTAAAAACTTCAATTTTATTGCATATTAATTTGAGTACATCAAACAACATAATACGTCTCTCATTTCCTTCAAGAAAAAAGTCAACCAATGACGGCAACATCGATGACAACACCACGTTCATCAAGGACAACATAAACACGGTTGCAACAGAAATCACTAAGTCTGACCATGCCTGGTACTAAATAAACAACTATTGCATATGGGGCTTCTCTTTTGATTATTACTCTAGCTACTCCTCCTTTCATTCCAATCACTTCAGGCCATCTAAATTTACGTCCTGCATGCACAAAGTTTTACATTAATAAAATAAACAAACAAAAATCGTTGTGTTTAGAGGGAAAGAGAAGTTTTGAGCGCGAGAAATCCCACCTTGACCCAAAGTGCAACAGACAACGTCTGTGCAAGTACCACTAGCACAAGAAGGATAACGAGGCCAAGAAGAAGCACCTGACATTCTTTTAGTTTTTACAATATACTCTTGTTTTGAGATAACAATTTTATCATCTTATATATAGTCAATTCAAAAAATTACACCTCAAAGCAATTTATTTCTCTTGTCGTTTAGGCCATTAATTATGTTTTCTATTTAAATATATCATAAATATTTTTCTTCTCTATTCTCTCCCATCTTTTAAATCTCTTTTAAAACACATGTTCAAAGTAGAACACAATCATTATTCTTCAGTGATATATTTGGTTTCACCTTGTTTTTCCATCGCCAAAATTCTACAACATTGCCTTCTCGGAGCCTGACAATTAAATATCAAAAAATTTCTCAACATTTAAAAATAAATTAAATCAACGTATGATACATAATTCACCAAAATAGCTATTTTCTTTTATTACCTTGTCCCATAGAGACGAATCGGGTCTTTTCCAAACCACCACTTTTTCTACTGTACGATCCAATAATTTCCACTTGCATTCGGGTTCGTGTACCCGGTACCAACTGTAGTCGCTAATCGTCATATTCGTACTCGCACCAAATGCAACGTGGCGCAGGTAATAAACGAACGGTTTTTGGCAGACGTCGGCGGTGACCGGCCGGGTGTTGAAGGCGTGGGCAGAGCTGCCGGCGCTCCGGTACCAGTTCAGGAAGGTGGTGGCCGGAAGTTGGACGTTCCGGGGGAATAATATGCCGCGGAATATTTGAACCGCGTAGCCCCACGAAATTGATACGGTCCAAGCCCCGGATTTGTCATAGCATATGGACTGCTGCATCAGCCCAGCTGGGTCCAGTTTCATTGGGGACCCAAGTCTTTTTAGGGCCTGAACACGGCCCATTTCCGGGAATATTGGATCCACTATGTCTAGGTGGTGAAGAGAGACCAGAGGCGCCAGTGGATGGGCCGTAAGAAGCCCAAATAGATCGCCGTACACATCGCACTGACCAGCAATACAGTGTGAATTGCAAAAGAGATAATATCTTGGGAGGTCTATTTTGAAATCTTAATTACATGAAAGTGTTTAGGTTTCAAAATTTACACTTTTAGATATTTGCAGTTAGGATTTTATTTTAATACCCTTTCTACTCTTATTTATTGCTTTTTATTTTATTATAATTTTTAAATTTTAAAGATTTGAATCATTAATTTGTAATTATATTCATTTAATTTTTGTGGACCCCATTCAAAATTTCAACCTTAATTCCTCAAATCTCTCATTCAAAAAACATTTTTTCTCTCTCACCAATTAACAACTCCCAATTTTGTTAAATGAATTAAATGCTACCGATTCTCTTTCCTCGTTCGCTGTCGATTTTCTCCAGCCACAGTGCAAAACCGATTTTCTTCACCGTTGTCTTCGTTTCCAAGGTGCAAAGACGTCGGCTGCCAGACCTTCATTTTCCATCTTCAGGACTTTTATGAACAAGGTATTTATTTCTTTTGCACG